CTTCTTATTTAATGCTGAGGTGATCTCTCCTCAACTCGTCGACCGACACATGTAAAATAGGTGTTGATGTAGCCATCAACCCATACCTACTCACCATCATCCTATGCTCAGTCGAAGTGTCCATTCTACCCTTCCATCACCACTATAAATAGAGGTACAATTCTCAATAGAAAGAGACTTTTAACATTTGGAATATCTGCTAATAACACTACACTATACACAAGAACTCTCACGGTTCTTCATTTTACTCACTCAAGTTCACCAACTAATTTGATCGTTGGAGGTACAACAGGGGAACCAAGCTCCATCCTCGCACAATTTCTATTTGTGTAAGCTGAAAGTCACTAAATTCAAAACTAGATATTTGAAGAAGTGAGCGGCCCCTCATCAACCTCACTCCAAAATATTTGATTGTTTGGTTACCCATAATTAACAGTTTGGCACCCATCGTGGGGCTTTCTTTCTTTTTTGAGAAAACATGTCTGGTTCTGAGAATAGGGTTGATCAGTCTCACCCTGTAGAACCACACTAGAGCTATGTTACTCAAGCTCAGCTTGAAGAAATAGCTTAGAAAAATTTCTCAATCTCTCCAATAGTAATTCTCTACCTTCACTAGTGAGCTCCTCAACCAGCTTCCACAGCCGCGACAAGCTACTTCAGCTATCCCCCCACCTTCTGGAGACCTATCTTCGGAGACTCACCCTCCTTCCAGAGCACAGCAAGTAGTCCCGCCTTGGACTCCTCATACTGCTGCCAAGCAGTTGGGGGATCGCGTTGAGTACGCGACCCAGCCGCCTCATCGGTCGACTCGCCCCAGAGAGCCTCAACGATGTCGCCTCTCTCATCCAGAAATCACCAGTGAGAGTCCTGACCCTGGTCACCCTAGGGACTGCACTAGAGGAGCAGTCTCTAAGACTCTCCCCCATCACTGTGCCTCTCTACCCCCCTCTGCTACTGTGGGGGCCTCCGGATACGATCGGGTGTATAGACCGGTCGTAGAAGCCATCGGGAGGAACACCCCCTTCAGATGATCTCATGAATGCCCCATGTGAGAAATTTAACATGCCTCATGTGGAGAAGTATAAGGGCAAGGGAGACCCCTCCGAGCATGTTCAGAACTACTATGGCGTGATAAGCATGCTCCAAGCATCGGAAGCAGTCATCTACCGATGCTTCCCTATCACTCTTTCAGGGAGTGCCAAGCTCTTGTGGAACGCTCCTGAGAAGAAGTCCATCAGCAGGTTCCAACAACTCAGCCAAAATTTCATCCATCACTTCTTGGCTGACACTAAGCAGAAGCTGCCCCCTCATGTGTTGATCCAGATGAGGCAGGGGCCGTCCATACCGCCCACGCCAACTTTACGCGCCGCGGCGTCCGCGCTAGCACCCTGACCGGCTGCGTGCACCAGCAATCCCGGAACCCGAACTAATCCACGCATCCAGAGCACCGTCCTCCTCACCAGCAAGACGCGCCGCAAACCGAGCTGTTCCTCGTCAGCAGCCGTTCGAACAGATCCGAGCTGTTGCCGCGCCGCAGATCTCGCAGTTCTTCCTCGCCAGCAACCCCACTCGACAGATCCGCCCTGAGCTCAGATCCGCCGTGAGCTCCTCCTTCAGCCGCTATCGACGCCGTCTCGTTGTCCTCGCATCGCCGACAACCCCGGCAGCCCCTCTCTGCTGATCCTCTCTCCAGTCGCCGCTAAGTCTAACGCCACGAACCAAGGCAAGTCCCCTTTGGACTTGCTATTCCCTGTATTCTTTTGAATTATATACTGTTAGTATTTATAGGATGATTAACTCCTACAACATTAATTAGTAACATGTTATATGTTGTTTAAAGACTATACATAAGCGCGGTGATGAATTTTAGACACCACTAGTGCGGTATTTTCACACATCATTAGCAAGATTCCGAACCTTGATTTATTTTATTTTAATTCTTAGTTTTATCGTAAATTATTATGTGACTCGTCATTTAATTTTTAGATCTGGTATGAGTTAATTAATTGAGTTAGCTGTGATATATTAATTAACTGCGTGGGATTGCCTTGACATGAATAGCTGTGTGGAAGCTTGTTGTGTTTCACTAGTTGTTACGCTAAATAGGTAAGACTGTACATGAAGACGACTTCTGTTAAAAGTATGATTTATGCGTGCTAAAAGCATGGCTATACTCGTGCGACATCGATATCCTGATGTGAGGAGTGCGCGAGTTCTTCGATATCGATATCCCGGTATGAGTTTCCTGATTATTATTTTAGTTTAGGCATTTGACTAGACGATAGCACCTTGATCGGACGTGTTGTGGTCAGGTTATGGTTGCATAGTTTTACAGAAGTCGTTCCACGGTAACTCCGTGGCTAGTGCACAATATTTCATGTACAGTTGCGTAATAAATATGACAAACATAGGGTTATAAAGGGGGATTGGACGGAGAATATAGCATGTATATAAACGGGCACATCGCTTTCTTGTTATCGTGATATCGTGAGTGTTATGTACATGGGCCAGAGGGCCAATACTTGACTTGAAGGCGGCCCCCGGACGACTTTACGGGGACCCGATTATATACATCAAAATATTCTTCCCCAATTCAAATAACATGTAAAACAAGAATAATATCCTTGCGTGCTTTATGGTGGACCTTGTTAGTTTTGTTGAGATGTAGACTAGTGTTGTCGAGATTAATAATTAATTATCTATAATTGAGACATATGGTATATACATGAGGGTTTCCTTGTTTGGATTATTTCGCTCGACGTACTACGTCTCTTATTATAGACTTTTTAAGTATTAATTTCATCTAGTTGTATGACCTTGTGACTTGGATGATTATTCTGATCGCTAGCTGCATGATTTCATTACCTGATTGATTTACGGATTCTTATGATTATCATGTTTTGGTCGTGGATTGCATGTTGATTTTGTTGGATTGCTAGTTGCACGTTCTTTTGTTATTTCGGTTATCATATTGTTCTTCGCTTGGGTTTTCGTTCGTTCTTTTCTTTTGTGGGGTCTTGCCGTGCGCCATGCACCTGACGTACACCTGTTTTCTCTGGTGTACGTCAGACTTGGATGAAGAACAGGTTCGCCAGGAGCCAGATGATTCTCAGTAGGAGTACCTTGCAGACGTAGCAGAAGAAGAAGCCGAAGCTTAGTCATCTCTTTTATTATCGGTTGGTCCTTAGTTTACTTTGTAGTTCTTTCTACTTCTGTTGATCGATGTATATTATACTTTCCAGTATTTCATTCAGATCATTTTGTATATGGGCATGTTGGCTTGCATATTATGTCTGGGATGATATTCATTTATGATATGTATTATTTTATTCTGTGTTGTTCATTATATTCTTGCTATCTGTGATCGGGGACCTGTGACTTCGCATTATTTGTATTTCTTGACGCTTAGCGTATTAGATTGAGAAGACGGGGTCTAGCACTTATCTCTCATCAGTCTAATACGTCGCGGGCTTGTTCACGTCCCGATTCCCCGGTATTTTGGGAAGCGGGGCGTGACAGCAGTCTAATACGTCGCGGGCTTGTTCACGTCCCGATTCCCCGGTATTTTGGGAAGCGGGGCGTGACAGCCCAGAGAGAGCCTTCGAGCCTATTTCAAGAGGTTCCAAGTGAAGAAGCTAGAGGTCAATGACCCAGAGAGTGTGGTCGCTATGTCTTCCCTCATGGCTGGCTTGCAGAGCAACGAGTTCCCCGACTCGCTTGCTAAGAAGTCAGTCACCAATTATGAGCAGCTACTGCCCAAAGCTCATGGGTACATGGATATAAATGATGCCCGAGCTTATAAGGCGGCAACTAGGGCCACTGAGACCTCCACTGCCATGACTTCGACACCAATACCGCCTGCACCAACAGCAGCACCGGCGTACACTAGAGTCTGCTAGAGGCCTCCTTGCGAGGTAGGAGTGGTTGAGAAACCCCCCCGAGGGTTGACTCCCGCTCCAATCGATCCGACAAGAGAGACCGACGGAGGGACTATGTGCTAAGGCCTGCTCTTAACATCCTCAACACCTCCCCCGCAGAAGCTCTCGCCAGAGTTCAGAAGGAAGGGCACCTCAAGGAGCTTGCTCCAAAGATGAGGCTGGATCCCCTTAGCTGCAACATGAGGCACTATTACTATTACCACAAAGATCACGACCACCTCACCAATGAATGTCGTATCCTGAAGAGGGACATTGAGGATCTGATTGAGAGAGGGTATTTGAATAAGCTCATCTCTCAGAGAGAACAGAGGGAAGCTGCCCCAGCTAAGGCGCATAGGAGATCCCTCATCAACCTCACCCCGAAATATTTGACTGTTTGATTACCCATCATCAATGAGTTGAGGGAACCTGATGACAAATTCAATGAGTTGAGGGGTTTATTTAAAAATAAGTAATTTATATATATTACACCTCCCAAAAAAATTTTATCCACAAATTAAAAAAGAATTTCTAAACAAATTGCTTAACAATTATTTTTTGACTTCTCCACACAAATGTCGCAACAAAATGCGGGTCGATGTTGCTCGTTTAATAGGTATTAAACAATGAACACGAAGCTTTATAATTATTATAGTAAGTCACAAAAATTTAAATTTAAACATTAAAAAAATAATTATCATGTTTAGCATGGACTAAAATGTTAAAATGCTAAAAATTATTAAGAGTCCGTTTGTTTTGATTTTTTTGAAGAAGAAAGTGGTGTGAAAGCTGTCAGTTTTGACAGACTTTCTTGTAAAAACGCCTCTAAAAGACGTTTTTATATGCTTTCCTCTTTAGTAAAACCAAAACAAACGGACCCTAAAGTGGTTCTATGTGCTGGGCCCTATGTTTGGGTTAGTAGATTTGTTTTTAAATTTTCCAATCAGATTATCCAGGTGAGGATGCAGGATCACTGCCACGTGGCGATGATCTAAGACGGTTGTCGGGCATGTAGGATCCCGAAGTACTGATTTGACCATACAAATATCACTCCCCCTCTCGGAAACAACGAGCGGGCTCCCGGAGGATCCAGCTACTCGCCGCGCAACACCAAACACGGACTCAAAGCGGGTCCCACATGATCTAGCAGCGCCACGTGGCTTACCCATCTTGGACAGCAGATGTCGTCCGAGCAGTCCGATGTCGCCCTATTAGAACTCGCCTCCGCATAACACGGTGAAAAGTGCGCTCCCACCATTTCGGTATCGGCCGATACGATAGGTGTTCCGCTACAATCTCAGAGAGGGAGAAGGAGGAGAAGCTCGCCCTGCTTTCTCTCTCCTCCTCAGACCCTTACAGCAAAGTGAGTTCTCATCAGATCTCTTCGATCTGATCCCCTTTTTGAGTTCGATCTCTCTCATCTCTTCGATCTTTGTGCGATTTTTAGATTCTTATTTTTTTTTTAAAAAGGTTAAATTGTGTGAGATAATAATAAAAGGAATAGGAATATTCTTGCTTTGGATCCAGTTGTCTTTTGGCATTTTTGTTTCTTGATTATTTTAAAGAGAGAAGTATAAATTAATGCGTAAAGTAGTTGAGAGTATTTATGTTTTGTTTTGCTAGTTTAGATGGTTGATGATGCAACAAGTATATTAGGAGGGGTATATCTAAGCTGCATGTAATGTATGGAAAATATTTGAGGGTATTTATGTTTTGTTTTGCTATTTTGGGTGGTTGATGATGCAATAAGTATGCTTGTTGAATATAGTAGGGAATATAACAAATATATTAGGATATGGTCTACATTATTCCTTATTTTTGTATTAATTTGGTAGTGCATTATTTCGTTCTTATGTATATTTGTTTGAGCTGGTGATTGTCATCTTTAAGCATTGCGCGTGTCACCAATCCTTTGTAGATGTACATGATGGACCCTTGCAGTGAAACCCATGTTATGATTTTCCAGTGTTTGTATCCCTGGCTTCCAGTCAAGGTGTTATTCTTTCTCTGTGAAAAATGTCTGCATGTGTTGATGATTGACAAATTCATGCAATGCGGGCACTGATTTTTGTTAGATAACTGCTTGTTATAATGTTTTTGTTAAATCAGGAATAGTTGGTTCAAGATATTAACTCCGGTTTCATTCATGTTTGTATTGTTCTTAATATGCCATGTGTCATTGATTGTCTGATGCTATATTCTTTAATAGCCTGGAGAAGCTTGCAGCAAGCATTTTCTCCACCAGCATACAAGTTAAGGGTTGTCCTAAGGGTGGATTAATTGTTATACACCCATCATCTCTATTCATAAAGATAACAGTGAACACTTCTACTGATTCTTTTCTAGCCATCCTTTGAGGTTTGTGATATGACCGACTGTCTCAGGATAAGATTAAAGATTAAATTCTTCCCATCAGTGGTAGGATTGATTTATGGAAGTTTATATACTAATGTGATGTGTTTTTTACGATATCTTATCCTTTCATGCATTGGCTTTCATCTTGAATGGCTGGTGTGAATAATGGGAGTTAAGCTCATATAAAACATTTTATAATGAAAATGTACTGTTGTATAGTGTAGCATTTTGAGTTCTTAACTTATATATCTGTTGAAGCCATTTGGTCGTTATTTTTTTCTTTAGTGAACACGTTTTCTTGCATATGCCCTCTGCCAGTTAAAAAGCATGCATACTCAATTAGATATAAAAAGATGCAAACTGGTTTGTCTAAATTTATATGGAAAGTCAAAACCAATATGCAAAAACCAGTGCTGGATCTCATGGCTAAAGTCACTGCATGCTGAGGCTTAAGATAGAGAGAGGAATTTTATCTCAACTTATGCATTCCCAAAGTATGTATACACATCTCCATTCATGCCCTTATCTATGTAATCCTGCTTTTACATCAATAATATGTGTATGCGCGAACCTAATGTATATGCATGTATACATGCATCTAATATGTCTCTGTCCATCTATAAAAATAATATGCATGTTTATCTGCAGAAAACATGTGTATATGTATGTGAACTTAAGCAATAGTGTAAGCTTATATATTACTTCATATAAGTATATAACTAATCATTGAACCCAAAACATAAAATGGGCATTCCCTGCATATTAGGTTCTGGGATTCTCTGTATCATGGTCTTACCATAAAGAAGACCACTCAAAGATCATGAGGTTGGTCGTGTCGCTTGCCTTGATAATTTAAAAAATTATATGGCTAATTGTTAATTGGATTAATTAGACAGATCTGATATTCTATAGTAACTCAAGGCTAAACTTTAATCCATCCTGAGACTGTTTCAAAGGGATCAGAATTGAAGGGGAGGGGTAGGGTGGAAGCTTGGTTTGTTCCATCCTTTTAAGGACTAACAAGGAGCAAATGACATGCCAAGTTGCCTTCTTGTTTCTCCCTCCCGATTCTCCATTCCTGTAACTATTGTTCCCATCAAACCTTGTTTCTACAGCAGAATTTGATTTATCATTTTCTGAATGTCCAGTGAATTTGTGCAACTGTGCACAGACAGATTTCTAGACAATAGTAACATGCATGTCCAGATGGCATTAGGCAGAGAAATGATGAACAAAAACTAAAAACAAGATGGAAAAGCAGAGGCCCAAAATCTGTATATCTCCTCAAGGTTAGACAAAGAGGGTAGAACTTTTTTACTTCTAGTTTTAATCTGCAACATCTTATTGCTATCAGGAGTGAACGCTTCACAATGTTAACATGTAACACATAAAAGA